AAGAGCTTGTGCCCAAGGAAGCTGATGTACCTCAAGTGGGAGCAGCCTCTGGAATGACGTAACCACAGGAAGGGAGAAGCTCAGACTAAGGCTATAGGACACTTCCACGTATACAGACCATCAAAGGCTAGTCATGCTAAAGCCTGGCCTTATATTCAATATATTGTGCCAACCTTCATCATCACTACTTCCTTCACATACTCCTTTTCCTCCACTGAACTATTCTTGAAGTCCCCTAGAAATTGTTTGAGTATCTACAGACCTTGGGACATGATCTGGACTGGCACAACTGTAGAAATATTTAAGACAATTCAAGTCAAAGAGAAGGTATGGACATTTTTTAATTTTTACTTCCTTTGACCAATCTACATGACTCTGGATAAGAACAACCTGTTTGTACCTACCAGCACAAGACCTATCATCTATAAATTTCATCTACAGCCATGTAATTGTGCAGAGAAATCCACATATGAAGGACAGTTTGCTTACATTATCTCTTTCCAACAGAATTTTCTTTTCACTGGTTTTCATTTGTTATTCTAGATTAAATTGGGAATTACTGCAAAACAACCTCACAATAATGTTTCTGGGTTTGTCAGCAGCAGAAATCACAATTTATCCCATCATTCCTAATGCTTACACGGAAGAGTCAATAAAACGCAAAAAAAATGAACAGGAGAAAGCTTCCTTTGTACTCGACAGCACCAGACCTATCATATTTTAGAACACTACCAGTACTACTACATCAATAAAATTGTCAAACAAAGCACACATAGAGAAGTATGCTATTGTCATTTTTTTAAGATTTCTTGAAGTTTTGTCAATAAGGTATTAGAAATTCACTCAGGTCTGAAACCCAAGTTATTTTTACACTCAAATTTGCAGTTTCTGCTTTGGAACTGCAGAACAGTCAGCCACCTAAAGTCATATACCAGAGTCCAAATCTTGCATGTTGCCCCACACTGCGCATGTATACATACGTAAGGCCACCAAGACTATTTGGACTTCAAGGATGTCTCTGCCTGTGCGGAGAAAAGAAGTAAACACATTTTTTCCTGAAACTTGCTTGCAGGCTCAGGTCTTCTTCAGTATTCCTAACCAAGAAAAATTACAACAATTTAATAAAAAGTGGAGAAAATCCTACAATGTGACAGATCAGCTATAAAAGCACACACTGAAATGAGGACAACCTTTAAGCCATGAGAATTTTCTTCATGAGAGCAGATTTTTTTCTGTGTCGTACTCAGCACGCAGAGATTTTCATTTTCCAGAGCTGTAAGGAATTTGACAAGTAAACCTACTACAGTTAATAGCATTTTAATCTTTATGCATAATAATCACAAACCTACATTGTACAGGTTTGATAATAATAACTGACAGCTGAATTTGAAGTATACATTTCTTTCCAAAATAGATGCGCATGTAGGTGGATGTGTTGTAGAAATATAATATACTACATGGCTGAGCCTAGATAAGCTGGTGATTCTCAAACGTCAGCATCATCTGCACAAAGTTAGGGTTGAAATCTGCTCTCCTAAATACCTGTTCATCCTTCTTATGACACTTTCTCTAAAGAGCTCAGTGAATAGTAGATAAAATAAGTATCTAATGAGGTATGACAGAAACTCTGATGGAGCTAAACAGCAGACATCTAAATTCTAATACATAAATGAAGTAAAAAATTTACTGCCAGCAACTATGTCAAGTTAGCCATAGGAAACTGTAGGTCTGCAGCTGGAGAAGGGCAATACTCTGCAAGCCAGAGAACCGATGGAACTCCTCCAGCTTTGATTATTTATGGTGTGATGATGAAGGAACAACTTTCCATGTGAGGAACAGCTTTAAAGTTCAACAGTGAAGCTGAAACAGAGATTTAATGAAAAATCAGAGGAGAACAAAACTACAGCTACAAAAACAATAACATTCGTTTTAACAATTTAAAAATATAATTTATGTGCAAAACCAGATGTTAACTTGTCCAGCTTCAAGGTAAAGAGCAAACTGTATTCATAATAACCCTTCTGCTGAACAGCAAACATGCACCATTTAACGTTGCTGTAAATAGGGCTCACTTCATACCTCCAAATGTTATCAAAATGAATGCAAATGCAAAACAAACACATTTTAAACAAAGGACACATCTGTATTTAATGCAAAGCTGTTTTCAAAAATCCCAACCTTTCATAACCTACCATAATCGTAATAGCCTGAAACATAAGAATGCTTTCAGGCTCAGAAAAAAAGGCTTCTAATTTTAAACATTTACGAGGACACTGAGAAGTCGCTTAGAACCATACTTTAAAACGTGTTTTCAGGCTTCAAATTGCTGAAAGCTGAGACCCCTTTACCCATTTAGCCTGGACTAGAGAAAGAGAGAGAAGCACAAAAATATGATGAAAAGACTGTACGTGAAAATTTCCATTTAAAAAGAAATGAAACCCACTCCCTCGTCCCAAACCTCCTTCCTCCCATCGTCATTACAACCTCCCCCCCGCTTTTACACAAAATGAAAGGGAGTGACTCTTCTTGCCTGATAGCCACCACCAAACAACTCATCTACATCACTGATGTACCACCACTTTTAACAAATACTTTTTGAAGGACAACTCTGCCATCATTGGGGCTGTTCCTGAACAGGACAGACCCCGGGTCAGAGCTGCAGTCGTTTCAGCTCATTTCAAACTATACCAAGGAATGGGTGATACTGCAAGAAACGTGATTTAATGTCCATTCTAAATAATGAACATGATCAAACCTTTTTAATGTTTTTGGTTTTTTCCCCCAACTCTTAAAATGCATGCTTTATGCTGGGAATGAACTGCCCTTTGATATATTATAACTATGTGAAGGAGGGACTGTTCTCACATTTCTGTTTCAGAGAAAACACCAAGCTGTTTGATTTTGAAAGTTTAAGGATTAAGATGGGGGGGAAAAATGCTTCTAAATGCAAACACACTCTAGTAAGTTAAATATAGTCTCAGTTTGATATGAAACACTGACTTTAAAATTAGCTATTCCTCTGCAAATACACCATGCATTCTCCTCCATCTACCCAGTGAAAATAAATATGAATATATTGCAGGCATTAAAAGATGGGTGTGCCATACCCAAAAGTAAGAACAAGTAGTATTTTTAAAGTAGTTCAGCATACAAAAATAATCTATGAAAGCAAAGCAACAACCACAAATACGTATTTATACCAACAGATAGTAGGAAGGAAGTTTTGAAAATCCACAGGGATTCTTCTGCCTTACCAGGCACCTGTACAGTTCTACGAGCATTTTCCTTTTGTCTTTTATTTTTCTTGGCTCCAGTCTTACAGTTCAACTCCAGGGCAAAGCACCATACAACAAGAAATTACATTCAAAACTATTAGCTCATCGAAACTGCCTTTACTTTCTAAAAACAAAACAAATACACAAAATATTGCAGCATCTTCTGGAATTCCACTCAGAAAACCCAACATTTTTAAATCTCTTCTCATGCTCTCATCACCACAGTTTTTGCAAAACAGTGAGAAGCCGCCCAGGACATTTTAGGAATGACTCCTTCATCATTGCAATCCCTCAATTACAGTTTGACCACAAAAAGAAATGGATATAGTGGTAGTGTAGAGACAGTATTGGTGTATTTTTCAGTTTGGCCTCTGACGTGCTCTGCCTTCTGTTGAACAGTGATATAGTGACTTCTTATGCTGCCTCCATTATTGCTCCCAAAATAATTCAGAGGTACATAAGGCTTTAAGTAGCAGCAGTTTAAACACCAATTTCAAACTAGATTAAATGGTTCAATGACCTTTTCATCAAAACTGAGCTCCAGAACTCGGTCTCCTTACAGCCTGAACTGACTTGCCCCCTTGAAGATGTGCTGAAATGGTCACTTACCATGCCAGCTCTGTAGCAGGGGCACAGCATGCACTCACTATTCCTGCATTACAGGCTGCTACAGCTCTGCATCCTGGTAAGGCAACTATTACTGGCTCCTGACACTGGAAGGTTACGGTGCTGCATGCAAATTTGTCTAGTAGAGTAAATCTTGCAACACAAGTGAAAAAAACTCATTACCTGTACCATAGACTTAGAAGTAAAGGAACAATTTCCCTTTAAAGTCACAGACTGGGTCAACTGCAGAGGTACAAAGCTATATACCGAGAGTGTTTAAGGCAGAGTGCTAACGGTGTTGGCAGCAGTAGTGCTGCTGTCACAGGAGGTGCAAGGAATATGCTAAAAGTTCACTGTGGATCATGCCATCTATGGCAGAGTATCAAACTTCCCAGGAGTAACAAACTCAGATTACTATTTTTAAAATAAACTTGTTGTTTGGTTGTTGGGGTTTTTTTTATAAAGCCGTCAAGCTTTGAGGGTTCCATCTTCACGGGTGGCAACTAACTCATCGTCAACCCAAAGACCTACAGGCAAAAAAATACAGGTAGATTTTTGGTTTTAAATAATCCAAAGAACCTTGCTGTTACCAGGACAGAATATAACACCTAAAAGACCTGTCAATAACAAACCTGCAAGCAATGAACAAGGTTGAAGACACTGAAATGAACAAGAATTAAAAGCTTTCAAATTATAGATTATAAAGCTCCTGAATGCAAGCTGCCTGTATGAACATTCTAATCATCCAGAGAACTGCATGGAATTATAGATATATCTACCATAAAATCTGGAAGCACAGTTGAGACTGAAATTACACTTTGTCTGGTTTGTCATTTCATTCAAGATTGAGATTACTTCATATAAACTGATTTATTTTTGTATGTATAGTATAATTTGAGAATCTATTTCCTTAACGTTAACCATTGGCATTGAGTATTAGTTCCTGCTAAGTTTCTTATGCATTAATTTTAAGTACAGTGTTTCATAACCAGCTTGCATGTACCCATGTGGAAAAATACCGGATGAATACATTTTCTATTTAACAAAATAAAGGTTAGCATAACTTAAAAAAACCTCCAACAAACCCACCAAACCTCTGAAGTGATACATCTCTTGAGTTAGTTTAGCAACATACCAAAAAAACATAAACAATTTGGTAATGTAGTTGATGTTTTTCACAGCATTGTAGAATTGAGCTTCAATATTCACCATTATTAGAAAGTTCAATAATTCCTTGTTTTGATAGCAAACTAAAAATTGTCCATAAAGTGGAAGGGTCTTCACAGTTATGATGACTCTGCCAATGATTACAAAGATCCTCCTTTCTTCCAAATAACTGTTTGCATAAAATGCAGTTATAGCCCGCTTTAGACCAAATTTCAATTTTTTTGCTTGGTGTACCAAAACCTACATTTTGCATCTCCTTGGCTGCTTCACCACTTCCTGACTGAGTCAGTTCACTTTTAGATAACATATCGACATTACTTTGATGGTGAAAATATACCTGTCTTTTCAGTTTTGGAAAAGTATAAAACTCCTCGTCATGGGCACTGCATTTTGCTAAATGTCTTCTCTCATTGCGCTGTTTCCAGAAGTGGGTTGCATGTTTGATCAGTTCTCCCTTAGCTCCTTTACTTCCTTGCAAAACCCCTTCCTTTACTCTTCCCTGGATCTCTTCTCCATGACAGCACAGTAAGTGAAACTTCATTTCACCAAAAGACTGTGCAATAAACTGGCATCGACCACATTTGATCTGTAATTTCACTTCTCCTGGGTTATGGAACAGGTCCTCAAAATTGCATTTATTTCCCCTGTTAAAAAAAAGAAATATGAACTATTTCAGTATTAGCCATGTACAGAATAGAGATGGCAACTTCTGTCCTTTTAAGTTCCAAGAAGAGATGACATTCATGAAACATTCTTTTAATTAAAAACAGGCACCATCGCTACAGTATCTAATTTATTTGGAACAGAAAAAAAAAAAGATAAATAATAATAAGGCTGATCAGGAAACAACTAAAACCAAATGTTACTCAACACTGCTGAGTTTAAGAATTGCCTCCAAAATTAGCCTTCCTAGAAATAATAGTTTAACAACACTAGTCTTTCAATAAAAGGTTAATATTGTTTTTTTAAGTTCCTGATTTAGTTAGGTCAATCCAAATACTCCTAGCTTTGTGCTAGAAAAGTGAAAATGAGTACTAGGTGTAGCATACTGCTAAGAGAAACTAACTTGTTTACACTGAGTGATTTAAGATCAATTTAAGGCAAAACCACATGTTCCACCTCCCACTCCAACATGGAAACTATGAAACTTCAAAGTTTTTTTTTCCCTAAAAGTTTGTAACAGTTTAAAAAAGTTTAAATACCTAATTTACAATTGGACAGCCCTCATTGATTTAGGACAGCTCTGTAGTATAAAGGCAACAGATACAGAGCTAGCAAGTCCCTGGTTTAAGTTAAGCCAATCAAAAGATCATCTCCACAGAAACCTTCTCACAATGTCTACAAAAAGGACTATGTAATACTGTGTAGTTACACACATTAGACATATCACCCAATAAAATAGAGAAACTAAATGATTCATTGTACGAAAGCTAGTAAGACTTAAAGAGAAGTGCTGGTGTTTCTCAGGTTCAATACCTTAAAAATTTTTAACTGATGCCCCAGAAAGTGGAGTGTAAAATGTGTAAAATTGAACTGTGGTGTTGTAGTGAGGAGTCAGGTTAAAGCCTTGAGCTTATTAAAGCGTATTTTAGTGAAAGTAAATGCAGAGTGGAAGAAACAAAAAAGCCAACATTTACACTGCATCAAGAAATTTCACCTCAAAATCCTAACACAGAGATAAAAGAATGTTCTACGCATCTTAAAATGGTAAATGTTAACTTTTCTACTTGGCTAAGCAATCGCATGAGCAGCAGTAACCAACACACAAGACAGATTAGCTCACAGCACTCCAGAGAAGGAAATGTGATAATGATATTTAAGAGGGTAAACAAACTACAAGCTAATACTGAAATATGAATTGTTTTGCACTTACTGCAGTTGGTTCACTTATCTTCTGGGGAAAACCCAAAACGGGTAGTACACAGAAGACAGTGCAAATTAACAGAAAAAGCATTAGCCATGAGAAATCAACTGATCAAAACAGCTCTGAGGGCAGTATCTTGGGTATTACTAGAATATATGCAAAATTACTTTGGATATTCAAGTGTTGGTAATAATTTATATTCAATAAATCAGCTAAAATATACCGGATAGTCTAATGGATTGACTAGATTCTGTAACAAAGTATTTAAGCCATTAGGAATCTCATTGGTGGGGGGGGGGGGGGGGAGATGAGGAAAAAGCAACAGTTTTCATAATGGTGATGTTTATAAACTTCCACTGACAACCCAAAATCCCATTTTCATTAGCATTTAATTAGTGAAAACACTCACCTCTCCGTTGCTTCTTCTCCTTCTTTTATATTCGTGTCCCTCTTCTTTAACGCATCTTGCAGCTGTTGCTCACTTGTAGAGGGCTCTGTGCTGATAACTACCCTGTGTACTTCTCTTAGGTGACCAAAATACACTTTTGCATGGCCAAAAACTTTAGCACAGAACTCACAACACACAAGTTTTTTGGGTTTGCCTTCATTGTGATGAAGTTTCATATGCGTGCTCAGGCTTCCAGAGTGAATATACGCTTTCCGGCAAATTCGACAGCTGTAAGGTCGTTTGTTTGTATGTGTGTTCATATGGTCCTGAAGATGGTGTTTAAATTGGAAGATATGGTTACAAATGTGACATTTATGCAATGGCTTAGGTACGGTTAAACATGCATTTCTACTTAAATCACTTGATTTAGCTGATGTAGCATCACTATGCTTGTAACTTAAATATTTATTGGGAAGTGAACTATTTAAAAAAGTATCTTGGTCTAAATGGTCAGAAGACGGTGTCTCTGCGACTGCTGCAGAAGTCAGTGGTGTAAAAGCCTGCACAACTACCACTGGTTTTGGTCTAATACTACGGTATTTTTTCACCGCCTCTGCTTTTTTGTTTTCAGGTGGCTGAAGATCAACTTTCGCCCTCTCTCTTCCTTCTCTAAACTTATTAATGATGCATTTCCTTCGCTTGGTCTGAAAAGCCAATAAATCATCTGGGGCTCTCCTTTTTCTGCCTCTTCTTTTAGAGGCTGCACTGTTCAATTTTTTAAGACTCTCAACATCCACTTTTTCTCGAATGGTTTGTTTGGGGACTTGTGTAAATGATACAGCTAATCGCTTATCGGATGCTTTAGTAGGAACATGAAAGGTTTTCGCCAAAGCTGGTATCTTTTCACATTCAGATCTTAGTGAAGGACCAGATACATTTGTAACATTAGTATTCTGCTTAGATTTACAGAACACCGGATTTTTCATCCTTGAGTAAGGCAAAATAGGAAGTTTTCCTTTTGGTGCTGATGGATTCATCTGTATTGTACTGCCAAAAACTGCTGGTGACAGGACCGCAACAGAATTTGCAGAATTTGTGGGTTTTTCCTTTAGTTTCTCAAATGTTATGAATGACTCTCTTGTGGTTTCTGATGCTGTCTTCACAGAGCGTAGACTTAGCTTCATGGGATTAATTGTATTTGCTGGCTTGGATGAAGAGTCTTTATCTACAGATGATCTAGAAACATTACCGTTAGCAATTCCAGTTTTGTTCACTAAAGGTGATCCAGATTCCACACACTTGCCTTTATTTACTAATGTGGCAACTGCAATTTCAGCTGAGTCACGGTCTGTTAGCATCACTCGCTCTGCTGAGTCTGAACTAGAATGAGTTTCAGGGCAGTCTTCAGTTAAAGTAGTCATGGGGGAAGTCTGTGATGAGATCGATGCTTTGGTAGGAATCCTGTTATGTGCACCCAAACCAGAGATTTGTGCCATTTTTTTGTCACTCAGAAATTTATTTCTTACAGACTGGTACCTGGGGATAGGCAGCTTTAGGTTTTCAGAAGGGGCCGCATTTGACTGCTGGATTTGCTGTGTTAGCGCAGGGGCAACATACGGCAAGGCCACCAGAGAAAAAGTCCCCTCGTGACCAGCCACCTGCATGACTGCATAGTTTTGAGTTGGTACCACCAGTGGTTTAGAACCTGCAGCTGAAATCGGTGTATTTTGCTCAGGCAAAGATGACTGAAGACAAGAAACCACTCCGGATGTTAAAATTTTTGGTACCATTTTTGGAGCAATGGTCCTAAACTGACTTTTCTTCTGAAAACTTCGTATTATATCCGAAGGGGATTTGTGTTTATCTGTAATAATAACATAACAAACATGTAATATAATATATAGTATTTTTTAAAAAATTACTGTATCAAAAATAAAACTGCTTACAAAGGATATTATTACACAGAAACTTATTAAAAATATTTAGGTATTTAAATGACGACTAAATTAAGTTTAGAATTGCAAAAGTTTCATGGACAAAACAAAAATACTCTCTGAAACAATGTGCTTGAATACACATATGCAAAACCCCCCTCCTCTTAATCTAATCTTAAATGGGTGTTTCATTCTAGGTTAGAAACTACATGGCATTTCAGAACAAATACACTTATGAGCCTCTTCTGCCCTGGAAAAGCTGCACTAGCATGCTGGCAATATTCAGATGGAAGAACTAACAAGGACAGGATTTAAACTCCATGATGCAGAACTTTCCTTAGCACCTGCTCTGATCATATCTCTCAATCAGAGTCACGCTATCTTTCTGAGTTTCTGTAACATTTAGAATTTATGGGTTTTAGCAGATACAGACCAAAGATTACTTGATGAAGTCTTAAAAAAATTACCGCTATAAAATATGCAAATAACATGTAAGAAAATCAAAGAGGACTTGAGAGAAGATGTACTGTTGTTAAATACTATGTTATTCAAATGTTTTCTTGAAAGATGCAATTTATTAAGGTTGTATCACCGTTCCTTCCTGTTTCTACCTGCGTTGGGAAATGTCGCAAACATTTTCAGTAAAGAAGATGGTGAGGATAATTAAGTAAAACAAATAAAAGGGTAAAATGTGTAACATATAATCTGCATTGAGCAGCAGAGATATATGCTGACCTTTCAGACACTCCATAAAAAAAGATTTGATATACAGTTAACTGAAACACATTTCATGTACCAGCCTCATTATCCACTCTCAAATTCAAGTACTGATGCTTCCAGTTCTCAAAAACTGGGATAGAAAGAAAAAACTTTTTTCGTGAAGAAAAAAAAAATTCCCAACAATCTCAATCACTGAAAATTCAACTGCAAAGATCCCAAGAAAGGCAATTTGGGAAGGCAACAATGTAAGAAAAAATCATTTTGAGAGAGGAATCACATTTGAATATGTAAAAATATAATGTAAAAATAAATGGTGGGACCTTGAAAAATTGTCATAAGGTAATTCCATAGGGAAGTTTCCATTCCTTATCACTTTAAAGCCTTGTAATACAAACGCATTTATACATGGTTATGGACTTAAAGAGGTAACTGTGAATTACTACCAGCACTGGAAACTCTAGTAGTTTATCTTAATCCTGGATGTTCTTTTCAGACCTTACACACTTTGCAACATGCACTGTAAGTTACAGAGCTATCACATTTCATGACCAGAACTCCTGGACAGATATATGTGCATACTCATGGCATGCACATGTGCAGTAAATCTACTGCCTTCAGGACATGCTAGATTCACTGAGCAACCACATGTTAACTGTACATTCAGAGACAGTAGGTCTGATGCTTCTCAAAACGCTTTGACCTACAGCAGGTTCGCAGAGTATCTATGCAGGGCATAAAACTTTGATCCTTTTATTGCTATGTACAGCATCAAACCCCAAGTCTATTATGCACCTTCTTGATCCCCCAATTAAGTGAAACTACTCAGCACCACCATAACTTTCATTCTGCACAATATACGTAGAGATGTCCAGAATTTCTAGATATTCTGTACAGAGTGGACTACGGTACATGTGGAAATCCTGCCCAAAAATAGAGAGAGATCCCTATACATAGGGATTAAGTCCAGGCCTACAAAGTTTGTGCAGCCTGGAAAAAGTAGAAACACTGTAATTTTAAAATTAAGTTTCCAACTTTTTAGTCTCCAAAAGCTAGGAGCATGTACTATTTCTCACTAAGAACTTCCATTTTTGCCAATCTACAATCACTAAATATATAGAAAACGTTATCTTTTCAACCGCTAAGATTGCTAATACTACTCAGATTATTTTTTGTTTCCTGTTGCTGCTCTTGAAGAAATGCTTTTAAGAGCTTCTGAGAAGTACAATAAAATGATGTAAAATATTTTAATCATTAACCAAAGTAGCCCTGAACTTCAATGCTAATTACAGGTCAAATTGTACTGCTTAAATACAGTAGATGACAGAACAAGTCTATTTTGCTTTTAGGGGATAGAATCTGCTCTTATTTTCCAGATTATGCTTGCCATATACTGACATTGAAGACTTTTTCTTAATCAGCAGTTATTCAGCTTGCCACAATATTCAACATGAAGCAGTCTCCATTCTCTCTTCACGTTTGGCTTGCACCTCTCCCTTTTTATTTCAAAATCGCATTCATTGGTTTGCATAAAGTTTTTAGGAAAGCCAGCACTTCGGCAGACTGCTACCTGTGCTACTTTACACTTCAAGTTATAAGGCACCTGCTCTCCAACCAATGGTAAAAATGATGTGAGTTCAGGAAAAGATGGAAGTTTTGCTGTGGACATGCCATCTCTACAAAAGTGCAGAAATGGCAGCCAAAGCCCCTCAAGAGAATGTTTAATTTGATGTTAGGAGGAAATACTTGTAGAAATAGTGCATTACACTAGCTTTAAAAATAAGCATATGCTTCTCAAATACACTGACTTGCCTACTGCAAATTTAGGCAGCAAAATCACTTTTATTTAAATAAAGTCTCTCTACATATTTCCTCAGTACAAGAAAGTGCTATTCTGGAAGCCAAGACCTTCATGAATATCAACCACAAAATGCTCTTTGAAACAATGTCCACCTAGATCAACATTCTTCCTATGTAGTTAATAAAATGCTAAGCATTGATATAACTGAGAAATTATTTTTATACAAATGCTCTTTTTCTAACTAGTGTAATTTTATCATAAATATATCTTCCAGGCACCCCATGTTTGGTATCAGCCTTCAGTACAACTTTTTTTTTTTTTGGCCAAGTTTACATCAGACAGTTTAGCGCAGAAATATTCATTGCAGTGCCTCTGGTATGCAAAGGATACTCAGCTCTGTATTTCCCTCTCATCCAACACAGCTGCTGTAGTTAAGCAGCTTAGCCAGTGTCTAAATATAGAGATAGGCTAGATGCAGACTAGCTGTCTGATGATCTTTCAGACTCAGTTAAGATTTCGCTTGTGGACTGGGAAAGCTAATTGGAAGAACTGGTGGAAGATTATTTAGTATCTTGGATCAGGAAAAAGCAATCAGTTGATTCACAGACCAGAGGTCCTACAGACCCCACCGAGAGTGCCCATGTATCTTCAGTGACCAAAACTAGTTTCTCTTATACTTGCTGATGTTTTCAACAATTTCCTCTGTACACAATGATCGTTATAGTAATTCATGTCTTTGCCACCCCGACACTGAAGGACTTTAATATGCTCTGGCTGTCACTCTGCCAGAAGGCCACTCGGAAACTTAATATGCATCTTTCAGGGACATTCCACTTCTATTCCACACCACCTTCCAAATTATTTCTGTCTCTGATGCAGAAGACTCATTTTGACTTGTCAGTTGTGACCTGACAAAACACCTTCATTCTATGCAAACTCATGAAGTCTTGCATCTAAAAAGGGGACTTTTCAGTTAAGGGAGGCTCTGCAATGGCATTTTTGAGGATGGCCCTTGGTTTTAGACAACATTTTTTCTACAAGTTAGTCTACAAGTTCTTCAGTGGAAGGCAACAATTTTTATACTTTCTCCAAAATTTTCATCAAGAATAAAGAAAATGAATGAAAACATTAGATTTAATATCTGAAGCTCATTTTTAACTGCTGTGTTCTCGGTCTGTCAAATAGGCATGGAGTTGGGGCAACAGGTAGACACTTTTAAATAATTAAGCACAATGATAAATCAAATGCAATTCAATCCATTTAAAGTCTCTGTTAAAAGATTAATGGTTACCATGCTAGTATCTGCAAGTTATCAAATCACTTGAAAATTTGCAGGATGTCATAAGCTCTTCCCCCTTTTAAATAATCTTACAATTGTATAGGACTGTACAGTGATAGACCAATAAAACCAATGATGCATCAAAGTCTCTGATACAGTCATGATGGGAAGAGTCCTCTGGAGGAATGAGTCCTCTGCTGTTCATTCATGGTTCCCCTTGCTTCCTAAGTCACTCAGGTCTGGTCTACTACAGTCTGTTCTGCCTTCTTTCTGTACCTCCTTCAGTTTGTTCTCTATGTAAAGCATGTAACGTTGGTAAACACAGGCATTGCAGAAAACATGAGAAGATACTTCATTTTCCCCACTAATCTGGTCTGTCATGAACATTAAAATAAACCATCAAAATGCTAGAAACCACTGTGTAATAGTGTTAATTTTTTTAATAATCCTTGTAAGGCCACCTCACTTGTGCAGGTATGTATTTAATTTGTGTATGACTGGACAAGTGACAGAAAATAACAAAAAAAAAGGATCATCTTGTTTTGAAGGGAAAGGCAGAATACAGATGAAAAATATTAACGAAATATTTTATTAAATGCATGTTTATGTTGCTGAGTCTTTTGCTGACTTTGAAAGGAAGAATATCTGTTCTATGGGAAAGAAAAAAATGCACAACTTTCTAATAGACAATACTAGATTTATTTCTGTCAATGACAGTTAACCATTCATTTTGCCAAATCTCCATATACACTAAATACCTGTGGATACTGTCTTTCCAGCACAAGTTTCTTGTTTTTGCTGACCCAGCATACTTTGTTGGACACAATGTTTCTCTGCAGGATTAGCATGCAAAAAAACACCACCTGCAAAAGCGCTTCAGTCAGTTATAAATAGATCCCAGGACAAAAAAACCCCCACAAAACCAAAAACCACCAAACACCCAAACAATCCCCAAGCCCAACAAAAACCAGAAAAAGACAATATAAAACAACAATATAAGACATTAACTTCCAGTTAATGCATTAAGCTACTGTTTCTTGCTCTTTGCCATTTTTCTCTCCTCAAAAGATGTTTTAAAATGTAATACATTACACCCCAAATGCAAGGTGATAGCTTAATAACTGAGTAAAGCTGGTTAATGTGGTAAACAGATGGGATGCTTTAGCTTCAGTGTCATGGCAGACAGTCAACAGCACCAAAACAAAAAGCTCAGAAAAATGAAGGTTCAGTAGCTTCAGTGAGGCTTTTAAATACAGGGGCTAAATTCTATGCTGATTTACACTTTCTGGAATCTCATGTAAATCGATGGAACTGCAAATATTTTAGAAAATAGAATTTGGCCTTCTATGTTCAAAACTAGTTTTGCCACACACCTATATGAAGTAAGGTTGATCATAAAGCCTACAAATCAGGACTGCCCAACTCTATAACAATTAATTTGCAGTTGTTCCTATCTTTGCCTAATAATAAATATTTGGGTAAAATGCTGTTCTGGGTCAGATAATTTTCTAAAATTAATTCCAACAGAAAATGCCAGCCATCCCCAGGAATGTCTGCATTAAAAAAAAAAAAAAAAGAATCCAGTAACACATCTGTGCATTAAACAAAGACCTTGAGGTTTGACACAGGAATGTCTCTCGTCTTGTGAAAAGCTGCCCAAATTTCACAAAGTTGTAAGCTCTTGGCATGTGTTTAATAGATACTTTAAGGAGCTAACTTTTCCAATTATTACATTCTATTGAACATGCTCCTGCTTCAGGTTGGCCTGAATTTTTACTAAAACTATAGCTTTAGGTCCAAACACCCAAGCTGGAACAAGGGAATGGCCTCTCCTTCTCTCTCAACTGCTGAGCTGAGAGTGGGGGAGAGAAACTAGGGTAAGAACAGGGGAGGCAGGAAAAGGACAAGAGAACTAGAAATGAGACTTGGAAAGTGTCTAGGCCAAAGAGTCAGGATGGGATATGGGAATTAAATGCAGAGTTAAGATGGGAAATGAACCAATTGCTATTGCATGTGATTTGAAAGAAGAAGCATTTAAGACACAGGGATAACCTCATATCTTGCATTTGTTACCTTATTAGTACCTGATTTTTTAAAGAGTAATATAATTATGTCTACATAGAAGCCCTTTTGTGCAATTTAAAATAGATTGGAAAAATAAAAAAATATAACTCGGTGTTCTAATGCAAGATTGGAAAATCACAGTATAGCATTCACACAAACGCTAATATACAGAATGTACAAATAAACTTAGAAAACATGTTCTGGTATACCACGGGTGGAATAGGATCAAAATAGTTTGTTAAAATTCTAAAAGGGAAAATTAGACCTCTTTAAAGCTATATATAATTAATTCTGAGTTGAGCATCAATGTGATTTGCCAGTTGTGCACTAAGCATTTTATCATTCAGAAAGGTCTTCGTTGCTTTAAAGTCTGTGCAAGTTTATTATTTTACGGGATTAGGATTATAGTGCATTTCAAGAAATTCTGTGAGCAGTGGGATACTTCCTGGATTCCTTGAACAGCCTCCAAAAGACTCTTCTTAGCAGGAGAGAGCATTACAACAACAAAGCTACACAAGCAAAATGTTTTTTTGACATTAACTGGACTCCATTAAAGCAGACGTTCAACCTTAACATTTCTAGTGACATTTTTCAGTGTGGGAATAAACTATTTGTGGCATAAACAGTCATTTTGGAGAGATAACTCATACAGTAATCCAAGATTATGGGTACACAGCTCATATTTAAGGAAGTTCTTCAGTTTCTTGTCTAGTTCAACCCTTCCCCCTCTCCGAAACATCCTGGTTGCACTATCAACCATACACTGATATATACCAAAGTTTATACAGATTCTCGGAAAATTAGTATCTAACATAACTTATGCAAAAAAACAACGAACCAACCAAAACCCCAAAAAAGGATGGAGGAAAAAATATTAATAATGTCTACTGTTAGATAACTCCACTTTCTCAATTTCCAGAATTGTTTTCCTCTGTTGTTTCAAAGTATACTTAGGAGTTGCTTCATTATCATGCTGTCATCTATCTGGACTTCTGTACAGCCTTTGACACAGTCCCCCACAACATCCTTCTCTCTAAATTGGAGAGAGAGATTTGATAGATGGGACTATCTGGTGGCTAAGGAATTGGCTGGATGGTCACATCCAGACAGTAGTGGTCAATGGCTCAATGTCTGGATGAAGATCAGTGACAAGCGGTGTCCCTTAGGGGCCTGTACCAGGACCAGTACTGTTTGATATCTTCATCAAAGACATAGTGGGATTGAGCGCACCCTCAGCAAATTTGCAGATGACCCCATGCTGAGTGGTGTGGTTGACACGTTTGAGGGATGGCATGCCATTCAGAAGGACCTGGACAAGCTCGAGAAGTCGGCCCCTGTGAACCTCATGAGGTTCAACAATGCCAAGTGCAAGGTCCTGCACATGGGTCAGGGCAAACCCTGGTATCAGTACAGGCTGGTGGATGAAGGAATTGAGAGCAGCCCTGCGGAGAAGGACTTGGGGATACTGGTAGATGAAAAGCTGGACATGAGCCAGCAACATGTGCTTGCAGCCCAGAAAGCCAACTACATCCTGGGCTGCACCAAAAGAGGTGTGACCAGCAGGTCAAGGGAGGTGATTCTGCCCCTCTACTCTGCTCTGGTGAGACATAATTTTGGATTTCTCATAGATTTAAATTTCTTGTCATAGGTTTTAAATAAACTCTGCAGCAGTACTGAACATTTACATCTCCATATTGTCCCAACACAAGTAACTTTTAAAATATGTACGAAAACCTATTTCGATAGGGAATAACAACTGGGCAACAGCTCTGAGGTAACCTTTTTGAGTTGTAATATCAAACGTATTAGCCACATGTGGGTAAATCAATATTCAAAAGCAACATCTTACATAAAATATGGGCAACACAAGGCTTAACACAACCTCCTATAAAAAAGCCATTTCTGTGCTACTGTAGAAAGGAAGAAAGTCTTGGAAGTCTTTCCTAAAAGTCAGAACATACATACCTAAGAGATTTTTAAACGCTCTTTTGCAATGAATTTAAAATACATTTATTAGCAGATCCACACGTTCTCTTAACACCTCTCATGCAGTGTTTGTGAACTTAAAAAGCTTTCCATTTTTTTGAAGGCACAGTCTTTCAAGTTATAAGCTACTCATTTCATATTAAGGTTAACATAATTAATAGGTTTTAAGCAGATCAAAATATTTTTGTATCAAGAAATGGAAACTGACATAAAGAGAGCTAGACATAAAGCATCTGTAATTATCAGTAACTTTTCCCACCTTTACAGCTGAAGAAATCACACACAAATTTTTCTCATTATGGCAGTAAGAGAATTTGAGAATAAGGTTTATGCAGATAAATCTATGGGCTCAAGATGGTGAAAACATTGGTTCTTTTATGTTTAAGCATGGAACTTCTGTCTGAGAGAAACTGTTAGATACATCATCAGACAGCGTGTTTCAGCTTCTACATGCATCTACTAATTTCAGCAACCAACCATGTCAAACTTGAAGTGGGCAATTATCTACAAACCACGTTGCTCCGACAGGACTCAATTGCATAGGAAGAAAATTTTTATATCACTGCAAATCCAGTGGTTTATCTTTGTCGGTTTTGCCCAGTCATTCTGTTCCGCAGAGGATACCATCCCTGGATATTTGCAAAGTAAGGCTTCAGTGACGCAGCCACTTGGGGGAACTAATTGTTCAGAAAACAGCTGAAGGGAGGTGATGCAAGCACTGGTCATAAACTCGTAACTTATAAACCTTCAATGGCACTGCAAATGTGAATTAGGTACTTTAGAAGATGGGGACAAATGGAAGATTCAAAAGAAAAGACTGCAATTGGATTTTTAAAAATTATTTTCTGGGAGAAGTGCCAGTTTAAATTTCTTTTAGTGAGCTTGAAGAAAGATATGGACCTAAACAGTAATTCAATCGCTGTAAAGTTGATGTCAACGTAAAGTCCTTTTTAAAAGGTCTATCAAGATCACATCGACCTAGACAAAATCTTGATACGCCTAACATAAGTGGTAATTAATAGACTTATTTTTTCGTTAAGTGCGGGAAACAATAATGACCAAGTCTGCTACAGAAATGAAGGCAGAATTCTTCAGAAACTATGCAGCACAAAAAGGTCAAGTAGAACCATTTTATGAATAAATCATGAAATATTTTTTGACTAGACTCTTGCTCCGCTTTCAAATAAGCTGAGAACAGAATCTATCTTTGTCTTACTGTAAGTTCAACCCTCCTTCCTTCCTTCCATGGGACAGAAAACACATATGTCTGATTGCAGTAAGGGAATTGTGCTTCTTGCAAAATTTATGTTTTGCAAATACTGATGTGCAAAAAGAGAGCACAACAGAAGAGCAAGATTGTTTTTCATATTATAGAGTATCACTTCTTTTGTGACAACCAGAGCACCTCTTTCTGAATAGATCCCACATGCAAGAGAAAACAATTAATTAATTCACCACTTTGGCTCAATAGAGCAAATATCTTTTACTTGAGGCATTAAAAGCATCGGTATGGTTACTTCTGTTCTACAAACCTCAGAAAATGCTCCCTCATTAAAGATGGATGGAGGACCAGAAGACTGTCACACCTGGCCTGGTCTATACTGTGTCTTCCACTAGGAACTATACACAGGGTTTATCATTCCTCAAAGAAAGGGCCAGAATATAGAACACATTGTTAAACTTAGATGGCTGTTGGAGAGTATTTTTCTCAGGGATTTTGTAAATAGCTCATTTCTTTTGAAAATCACCTAAGCAATCTAACTTTTGAATGGGGAATCTCTATCCAGGGTTTTTGTGTGCTCTAGCTGTCCCTCCTTTTCTTTCTTCATGACCCTAATTTCTTCAGGAAAAGACTATACAGCTCTGGGTGAGATATGCAAAACATTGGCACCTGTAGTCAACTCCACTAAGGATTAAAACAAAAATAAATATTAGAGGATCTCCACAGTACTTTAAACAGCTATGTATATTTTTTCAAAGATAGACACAGCACTGTAAAGCATAGGGCAAGTAAAACATTTCAGAAAGACTATGGCCCTGGGTAGGAAGACATTAGTTTTCAGAACATGTAAAATTATCACTTGCTGC